ATGGGGTAGCGGCTTCGAGGGTCGTCATTGGTTCATGGGGTCGAGAACGGGGAGAAAGAGACGATTGAAAACGCGAGAGAAAGTGAGATAGAATGAGACAGAATGAAAAAGAAAGGAAGGCGATTCTATTGAAGCATGGCTTAACAATCTATCTTTTCAGTGCGACGCTACTTCGTTCTTTTAGATTCCTTTCGGTTTCTATCGGCTTCTCCATGATATACATACATATATATATATATTTTAGTACTTTGTACTATATATGTATATGATATATATGAAGCCGTCTCGCGAGCTTTACACCTTTCTCACTTTCACAAAACAGCGTAATGATATATGAATATATAAATATATAAATGCCATTACTCTATTACTTACTTTGTAGTGGTGTTAGGGATAAAAGCAAGAAAATAGGAGAAAGTTTATAAAAAACCAAGATGAATAAATGTTGTATTATTCAAGTTCCGCAAAAAATTCTTAGCAGAAATGAAACCCGATCTTATAGGTCTTTTATTCATTTCCTTTCTGAATTGGAATGTATTAAAATTACATTATTCTTTGGAATTATTTCAGAATCATTGATATTTCATAGAATGCTTATTATTACTGTGGTTCTGTTGTATGGCATGCAGACGTTACTACAACCGTGCAAGTTATGCAATTTCTTGATTTTGTTATTTTATTATAAATTCTTTTTCACATAAATTGAAAAATAAAACATAGTACGGGCGGTAATGAGGAACCGGAATGAGCGGGCTTATTGTCAGTCTACGACCAATCGAAGGCGGAACTTAATCTCGCTCCGGAAATTGCGGGGCCTAAGGTTCGCCCACGTCAGATCAAGATATCAAGACGGTGAAACTCTATTATAGACGGGAAATAAATAACTCCCATATGTCGAGAGAATACTACAAGCGTATTCCATCTTTCTTTTAAAAATATTTTTTACACTTTTCACTAAATTCTTAGTTCACGGCACAGGGTATAATTGATTATCAGTTTTCTTTATTTTTTTATCGTCGACAACTCTTGACACTCCAATCACCATAATTAACAGCTTCGTTCGATGAATAATAATATTTCACGTAAATACAAATGATCGAGCATTTCAACATTTCTGTTCTATGCTCTTTGTTATTTTTTCACGCATCGAAGGACCTTTGTAGTGTGAACTTGCGAAACCGTGAGATTCGTTAAAACTCGTATTTGACATCACTGCCCAATTAATTTGCAGACAAGTATAAATATTCATTCTTATCGAAGTGATTGTGATACGTAAGCATCAAAGGATCTATTCAAGTGTACAAGAAATAATATACAAATTCAAGTAGTCAGAGATGTACAGGGTGTCAAAATCCACATATACGGACCACACAGTTGCATTTTTGGGATGAAACTGAATAGTACCGTATAGAAAATAATTCAGATCGTTAATTTGGGCCTAGCTATATTTAAGATTCTTTAACAATATCCGGGTCCTAGTTAATGCAGGTATGGTGGATCAAGTTAGGATTGTCACACGTTATTACGTAGTCCCACTTTGGGGCCATTATAGGTACTAATCACAGTACAGATATAAGTTTGAATTCCCGTCTAGTGGCACAAAGATACAGACAATTTATTAGATTGTTAACGTTTGTTAAATCACATCGAACATACAATTGACGTAATGGCATAATTATGTAATTGCACCGAAATTTAAAAAAAAAACGGTATGTGCAGTAAAGAATCATAATGTTCAATACTATGATTAATTTTCATATTCTATTTATTCGTAAAACTAATTAGGAAAATCACGCTGAAAACATCATCGATGGATACCAAAGTTCTAAGTGGCTTCCTGATTAGCGTTACGGAGGAAATCCCTGATACTTTTAGCACAAAAACTCAACTAATTTCTAACTCCAGCTTAGATAGGCATTAAAGAAAAAGCCTACATTAAATTAATATACATTCTTCGATAAGACTCAGCTTGGGTCTAGTGAGACACTGGTAGGGGAAATTCTTATTGCGGAAATCCTGTTAATATCTATGAGAGACCTATATTTGATTTGGGCAGCTCCGATAATTTTCTACACGGGAAATTAGGCTATAAAAAATTTGATCCGGCCAATAGTTTTAAAGATGCTAAATTTAAAGTTTACCAATCACCTATTAGGAGCCAGTGACAAGACGCCTAAATTAATATTACACATGCAGATCAGTGCTGCATGTATAGTTCATGTGTAACTTGTACAGCTCTGCGTGGTTCAAATGCGGCTGGCATTCTATTTATTTAATCATTAACGAGGGGAATTCCTCTTCTCTCAATCGATATTGCATTTCCAATTTCATCAATATCGCTGGCTGCCAATACATGGTTGGTAACCTTGAACTTGTACAACTTTGAAACTAATAATCGGTTCAAATTTTTACTGCCCAATTTAGTATCAGGTTCACCTCTAGAATGCAATAGTGTGTTCATTGTATGCAAATTTTTAAATATCCTGTATACTATTTGTATAAAAAACTATGTGGGCAAAATTATACTCAAAGAGAAATCGTTTGACCGAGGATCCATTAATAGTAGACCATAAGATCACAGTAATGGGATTACGCTTATATGAGTTCTTCTTCTTCTTATTCTTCTGTTGGCTTTAACTTCTTGACAGTTTGAGTACCAGGCTTAGATCGATTGAAAGTATATATATATATATATAATAATATATAGAGTGGAATAAGGAACGGCTAGAGGTAGTACCGTTTTACAGTAATATGGTGCATAGTTTAATGAGTCACTGAGTGCTTGGCAAATGGCGTTCAGTCTGCACCTTCATGTTAGCCTGACATAACCAGCAATACTTTTTTTTGTAAATGAAAATATGTACTCATATAAAGATCTATATCTCCAAATTACTGAATTCCTTACTTCTTATTTTTTTAAATGTCTGGCGTAGAAGACTATCATAGAAATGTTGACAATACTAACATTTATCAACAGTCATATTTACCTGAATTGCACAGTTTACTTTTTGTTTATAAACCTTTATATTACAACACTAGATTAATGACCTAACGTAGGTAGCACATGCAGCACCACATAGCCGTTCACGCACCATGGAGGTGTTATTTATTTTAATTTTAAAGGCAGGTTAAAAAGAGTATAAATAAATGTAAGTGTGCGTGAAACTGTAATATACAGGTCAGACCATCGAAGTACCGATAAAATTGCTGTCATGTTTTCTGAATCGTAAAAAGGCATGGTACTTACTATAAAAGCATGTATTAGATGCAATATATATGTATATACATTGATACTATATACCGAATATTTGGTACATCTTATGTGTACATATACGATACATGCACATGTATATACTTATAAATTAGATGTCGTTCGTTATGATAGAGCTATTTTTAAAATTTCAATTTTTCGATACTTTTGATTTTTCTACTATGTTCATTGTTTGTTTTATATAATAACTGACTGATAGCAGAATTTGTGTCAGAAAATTAAAAGAATAGTATGAGAAACGTATGAGAACAAATATGGTATTGCATAAGGAAAGCAAATACAAACATAGAATAATTAAAAAAGAATGTAGAGCGTTAAAAGACATCCTTCGTTACAAAGTCTCATTTGTGCATTATCATAAGTATGCTTTGCACTTGAACAAAAAGAAAAAAAGAAAATTCACGAAATTCAGATTCAAGCATATGAGCCGTTTATTTTGAAAGTGGCCTATATATTATATAATATAATACTGGATCTGTGAAGAAAAAATAAATTGCGCCAACTAACATGGCGGCAGTTGGGAATCTTTGAATAGTTACTAGATCAAAGTACCTTCGTATTTTTCAGAACACTTTGAAAGTTCAATTTGTACTGTATCAGATAGAAAAAATGTACTGAGAAAATCTATCAATATTAGTGATATTCCTAGATATTGAGAATATTAAATACGTAGTATATTGAATATTTAAATCAATTGGAAATATTACATAAATATCATATATGTTATTTAAATATATGTATGTATTGTCACGTAAGGTTCATGGGGACTTCGATTTCTTCGATTACTAGAGTTCCAAGTACTAACCGAGCAAAATATCTTAGAAATTAATAAACAGGGAATCTTTTACTAGCAATAATAATACAAATCCTCAAGATGGATTTGCCTGAAAACTGTAAATGTATGAATTTGTATGAATTTGCTAAAAGAAAATCCAAGCAGCATTCTCATTTTCAATTATACCCGGAAAATACAAATTATTAACAGTTACGTATTGGCAGTGTTACAATTTCCTACTCACATATTTATTTAATACAGTTAAATTGTCATCCATCTTTGAGTAGAAAATTTTAATATTGCCAACATGTAACTATTACTTTATGTTTGCTGGATATACCCAGCATATTATATAATATATATTATAAAGTCTAGTATCACGAGATAAAAATTTACAACATAAATCTTCATGATCTTGGCGTACTTTAGCAGATCCGCATCGGTCAGCGCCCGGCGTGGTAGTTTCACTTCAAGTTTTTTGACTTCAGATGAAGGCCTAGTCCCTTTTTGTAGGGTTTCAAATACATTCCTTTGCCTAACGCGATGGCTTCCATTGTCTCGTTGTGCCTCTGGCTTTCCTTCAGTTCTTTCTTGCTTGCATTCGCATCGTTCACGGCTTTGGCTATACCTGCAGCTCCGCCAGCCAACGCTCCAGCGGCGCTGAGACCCGCAAACACTGGGACGAGAAACGGCAGGAAGCCTCCGACTTTGGACGGTACGGGTAGATGCGCGGTGTTCGCACGTTGCGCTTTCCACCTGCTCGTTTGACGGCAGCTTGTGCACCCTTGAGAGCAGATCTGATAGCTACTCCTGCATCGTTGCTAGGAATCATCGATCGTTTGGCTTCCTCGATGACTTTCCTCAGCGTTACAGTCTTTGGCTTCCTTTTCTTCTTCAGTCCCATACCCAGTTTTGATTTGGCACCCATTAACGCCAGACTGAGTGCGCTGGAGAATGGATGGAAAAAAGTTAGCGGTGGTGAAGGAACTGCATAGACCTGCCAGGAGAAATTACCAGCGCCGGCACGTTGACGTCCGTGGATTGGACGAGACTTGGCAAGCGGATCTCGTTAACATGTCAGCGTACGCCAGAGAGAACCGCGGATACAGGTATCTGCTCACCGTCATCGACATATTTTCAAAGTTTGCTTGGGCCGTGCCCACCAAGAGCAAGAACGCTAAAGACGTAACAGCAGCCTTGAGATCTGTACTGGCGAAGGGTCGAATTCCGAAGAAATTGCATGTTGACCAAGGCCGAGAGTTTTACAATTCCGAATTCAAGGATCTTATGCAAAAGCACGAAGTCAAGACCATACTTAAACGACCAAAGTTTAAAATCGGCGACAGAGTACGAATCAGCAAATTTAAACACATCTTCGAGAAGGGCTACACACCCAATTGGACAACCGAAATTTTCACCGTAAGTCGAGTGAAGAATACCGATCCGGTGACGTACAATCTCAAGGACTACCAGGATCATTCCATCGAAGGCGGCTTCTACGAGCATGAACTTACCAGCGTCAAATATCCCGATATATATCTTGTGGAGAAGATACTGAGGAAACGTGGAAACAAGCTATTTGTGAAATGGTTAGGGTTCGATGGTTCGCACAATATTTGGATCGATAAGTCGGATTTGTAGGCTTCACCGAGATGGGACAAGGTATGGAAATGGATAATTTTTTTCAGAAGAAGAAGACAATGTATAAAGAAACTATTATACATATTTTTTCTCATTTAGTACATTATTATTAATGCTGCTGCTGCTGCTGCTGCTGCTGCTACTACTGCTACTTCTATTGTTGTTCACATTACTGTAAAACCAAACAATTTTTGTTATAATCAAATTAAAATTAGTGAGAAAATGAAAGAGTGAAAAATACTTATAATAATTTTTCGATGCTTACCTTATAATCTTCTAAACCAAGTTTGATTGTTGTGACTTCTTTTATGGCTGTAACACCATTAATATCAATGACACATGTCACCTAGTTCAGAGCGCTGCTCATTCGTAAGGCATTTTTTATCGCGATACGAGTACTTTGTTCTAATCCATTTTCTAGCCATTCGACGGGAACGTAAACGTATGGAAATAGTTCAACGTAATAACTTTCCTCTGCCATTTTTGAACTGAGTCGTAGCAGTTGCAAGCGTCATTTTTAAAGCGTGCTCCCTACCTCTACCTCTCTATGTGACAAAGAGTGTGAGCGACTTCTGAGAATTATTTATTAAGATAACGCATAGAAGGAACAATCCAGATGGTTAGGAGCTGGCGTTGCATTGAAGGATCAAGTGATATGCAATAACGTAAAGCACACGTTGTCTTTATTTTCAATTTTTACATTTGTACATGTTTATTATATACATCTTACATTCTATAACCCCACGGTAGGGTGTCGGTCGTACCAGGGAGAATGACCCTCTTGTCGTCATTCCAGCTCAGTGCTACTTATCTCTGTTGTACGTTATGAACTTTATGTTTTCTACTTTGAATTAAATTTTGACATTTCATTAAATTTTGATGATGTAAAAGACATTGAATATAATCATCAAAGGTAATTGTTTTCAATGTGGAGG